CAGCTGACAAATACCTGGTAGTGACGCTTACTGAGTGCTCATATGTGCCGTGCCTGCAGTGCTCTTATGTTGGGTTGAAAACATCTATGTTCTTCTTGGCATCTATTACAAAACTGAATGTTCTATTACTAACAAACTAAATACATTTCAAACTCTAGTTCAATTTACTTGTAGCCACGGTATATGTGCTAGGCAGTCTGTTTCCTCCTCCTTGAAAAGAAACATTGTAAATAAATGTTTTTTTCCCTTAAACAGTTAGCTTTTATTTAGGTATCTTCAAAATGAAGTGGGTTGTTTTACAATAAGGAAAAGACGACATTAAAATAATATTCTTCCCTCACAGTTCCTCAGATTAGCTGCTTTGGAAATATGAATCTGTTTCTATTTAGTGATTACATTGTAAATAATGGTTTTTCTATTTCAAGAAGACGAGTGATCTGCTTAGGAGCTATTAATGTACATACTGTAAACATAAAAGCCTGTCTTCATAGCTGCCTTTTGGTCAGTTGAATAAATTTAATTTAAACATTGAAAGCTTTTTTTTTTTTTTTTTTGTTACCAAATGCAAAAAAATACCTATTGTTCCTTCCAGAATTCCAGTGAGTATATAACTGCCTGAGTTCTCTTCCTGTACTGTATCCTTAGCTTACTTTGTTCCCAGTTCTCTCTGGACTACAGAACACCTCCCTCTCTCCTATGGAGACGGGAAGGTGTTCTTTAGTGCCAGCATGCTTCTACGACAATACTACTGCTGCATAGGTACAGAGGAGTGAATGAAAGCATAACCTACAAAATTGGTAGTTAACACACATAGACAATATGAATGTCCGCACTGAACACCTGCTCCGTCTTGGGGTCTGCAGAAGAGGCCAAGTGCTAGAAGGGGGTAGCACAGCCCGATCTACTGATTGGTGTCCCCATCATGTGACTGTGTGTGGCCCTGGGGATGGAGTGCGCTGACTGATATTCACAATCGGTCATACAAGAATATCTGACAAGATCCACATTTTCTACACAAAGTAAAGCAGTACAAATTAGATTAATTGTGAAGGAGCCAGAGAAGGTGCCATATGGAGCCACACTGGAGGAAATAAAGGGAGTTAATAAAGCACTGTTGATATAGCAGGTCATAAGGATCTGGCGAGTGGCTTTTCGTAAGGGAGAGATGGAGAGCGCTTTTTGCATCGTGGAAGAATACTATTATAGGAAGCACTTTATCTGAGCTTGTTCTATATTGGGCATTGAGAAGTTTTTAACACAGCCTGACCACTTTATAGAAAAGGACTGGTGGAAGCTGAGATGTAGTTTGGTGTAGTAACACTGCACAAATTTACATTCATATTGTCATTTGAAGCTAATATATATATTTATGGCATATTTATGAAATTTTCAGTTTTACAACATAATAGCTGACGTCTGCAGAAAATTATTTGTGTACAAGTAGCAAATGCACAAGTTTTTCACTTTTATTTTTATTTGTTTCACATATCATTGTAATGGAGTCAACAGTTCACATTTACATTTTACAAGGTAATAGCTGGCAACCACTTGTTTGGAGTATAACTCAGCCATGGATATTCAATTTAATTTTGTCTTTATTTGAGTTCAGTTTAACTCCTTCTCATCCAGTCCTCATCATCTCTTCTCCACCTTCAACTTTCTTCTTCATCCTCCATTGTCTCCACCCACTAACTCGCTCACTGCCCAGGAGATCGCCAATCACTTCAAAAAGAAGATTGATGAAATTCATGAGGAGATCTCCGATGCACAAATACCTCCCCCACTTAACACTCCATGTCCACAGGTACAATCACTACTTCCCATATTCAACCCCACTACTATAGAAAAGGTTGCTAAACTTTTTTATAATGCCCACCTAACTACCTGCCCCCGGACCCTGTTCCTTCGTAAATACTATGGTCACCCTCTGGCTCTATTCTACGCTCTCTAAGTCACATCTTCAATCTCTGCCTCTCTTCCGACATCTTCCTCAACTCTCTAAAGCATTCACTGGTCACCCCCATGCTTAAAAAGCCCTCACTAGAACCCATCAATCGTAACCTACAACCAATCTCCTTACTTCCCTTTTCTTCCAAGCTCCTTAAATGCCTGGTCTATAACAAACTGAGCAACCATCTCACTGACAACAACCTTCTTAATCCCCTTCAATCCAGATGTCCCCCTCAACACTCCATAGAAACTGCTCTCCTTAAACTCACAAACGATCTACTAATTGCTAAAACCAATGGACACTATTCTTCACTCCTGGATCTCTGTGTTGCCTTTGACACAGTGGACCACTCCCTCCTCAAAATAACTCCACACCTTCACAACTGTACTCTTCGCTGGTTCTCATTCTACCTATCCCTCCTCGCGCATCGCTAATCTACTAACGGACATATCAGCCTGGATGTCACACCAGTTCCTGAAAATCAATCTATCCAAAACCAAGCTCATAATATTTCCTCCCCCAAGTGCCCTTTCCAATGAATTCTCTCAAAATCAACAGCTCAACCATCAACCCTGTTCCCACATGCCAAGGTTCTAGGTGTAATCATGGACTCTGAACTATCCTTTAGGACCCTCATCCAATCACTGTCCAAAGCTTGCCACCTCAACCTCCGCAACATCTCCAAGATATGCCCCATCCTAACCAATGATACCACAAAGCCTCTAACTCACTCCCTGGTCATCTACCGCCTTGACTACAGCAACTCCCTCCTCACTTGCTTACCTTTACATAGGCTGTCCCCACTTCAGTCCATCATGAATGCTCCTGCCAGGCTCATCCACCTTACCAACCGTTCAGTGTCTGCCACCTCTCTCTGCCAATCCCTGCACTGGCTTCCCGCTCACCCAACAAATTAAATTCAAGATACAACAGCTTATAAAGCCATCCACAACTCAGCTCCCAGTTACATCAGTAACCATCTCTCAAAATACCAATCAAATCGTTCTCTTCGTTCCTCCCAAGACCACCTACTCTCTAGCTCCCTTGTCCCCTCCTCTCATTCTCGTCTCCAGGACTTCTCTAGAGTTTCTCCCATCCTCTGGAACTCCCTTCCCCAATGTGTCCTACTATCTCCTACTCTGTCCACCTTTAGACGATCCCTGAAAACTCATCTCTCCAGAAAGGCCTATCCTGCCCCCCCCCCCCCCCCCCCCCCCCCCCCTCCCTCAACTGTACATATATTTTCTCCATCAATCCATCTCCCTCAGTTAATACCTTTGTTATCTCTTGGCCCTCCCTCTTAGATTTCAAGCTCTAACAAGCAGATCCCTCTGATCCCTCCTGTATTTAATTGTTTTGTAATTGTCCTGTCTTCCCTTTTGTTGTAAAGCGCTGTGTAAACTGTTGGCTCTATATAAATCCTGTATAATAATAATAATTTATGTTTTTGTTTTAAAGCTCTGCACCAAGTTTATTTTTTTAATTTGCACTGATATACTATTTTCTATTTGGAAAATAGGTGTACAGTACTTCACTTTGCAAAACTGTTCTCCAAAGGTGCAAAGGATTTATTGCATTACATCTAGGTTTATACTTGCCAATCGCTCCAAACCCCCTCTTCTCAGGTCTACTGCCAGCGCTCCTGGCTCTCCTCCCCTCTGCTGAATGCCCCCATAGAAAACTACTTTCTATGGGGACACTCATGTAGGCTTGCTCCTAAGCCTCTATTGACACAGACAGCAGGCTTGGCCCTGAACCCCCCCTCGTTTCCTCCCCCCCCCCCCCCCCACTCTCTCGTCACTGGCTTTGATTGACAGTAGAAGAAGCCAATGAGACCAGGAAATGAGGGGAGAGAGGAGCTGCAGATGAGCACAGCTCTGGATTGAATGAGGGCTCAGGTAAGTAAAAAGGGAGGGAGAGGGGGGATACTAATGGCTAAATGTTGTTTTTTTTTTTGTTTTTTTTTTTACTTTAAAACAAGGAATGTGTTAAGGTTAAAAGGTTTAGGCTTTATAACCCCTTTAAAGATTCCAATAACATCTGTAATCAGGCATCAGCTCAGATGTGATTAAATACTACTCTGAACCCACCTGAGCTATCCTGCCAGGAAGCAGTCACTGAGGACTATCAGTCATAAGGGGCTGGGGCATTCTCTGCCCTGCAGCCATGTATATACACAGGGTAAAGCAGCCTGGGGCTGCCAATCCCAATATGATGGTCTAGCACAGGCACAAGAGGCATGAGGCACACCAGATGAGAGCATATCAGACAGAATTGGTACTTGATAGTAGAGTCTAGGAAGTGGGAGGAAGCAGAGGCATCTGGGTATGTTATGGGAATATTACTCATATTCAGACCAAAGATCAAGCCCCTTAATTAAATTTGATAACTATAGAAGGAATAAGATCTATTACGAGGAGGACAGGGTCAATACATAATTTTAGATGCAACTAAAGACAACTGTGTAATCAAATACAGTCTATAAAACTAACCAGTTCCTTCATCCGCGCTATACAGCGTATATGGATGAATCTGTCGCTGTAATTGACCACACCTGAACAACGGCAGTACATATGTTTGTGCCCATCGGGCTCATATAGGCTGCACTGCAATTGTATACTTCTGTGATGTACATGACAATAGTTTTTTTTTGTATAGTTGTGCCTTTTTAGGAAATGTTTGTACTTTGATGAGTTGCACTTATTCTGTATACTACTTCATTTCTGTATTTGGGGTTTTAGGATGACACCCTGTTTGATTCGAGAGCACCCATTATTGCTTATATATACAAATATTTTAAGGTATGCAAGACCCTAATTGATTTTATGCACCAGGATTGTTATCCTACGACAGGAAGTGTTACTGGCCAGGTCACAAGCAGAAGTAAAAGAAAGAAAACCCCAAAAAATGATATGCAGTCACCAAATCTAAAAGAATGGTAAACTGCAATGTATTACTTTTTTTTTGTCTTGGTTTGAAATTAATGAAAATTCCACACACCTACATTGGTAAAACTTTTTTTCTTTTTATTTTCCCCTTCTTTGTTAAGGTCAGTTCTCTTGTGGGAACAAGCGCTGTGATGAGAAGGAAAGCCTGAAAAGCTGGGAGGTCAATTTTGGTTATATTGAACATGGAGAGAAGAAGAACGCTCTTGTAAAGCTAAGTAAGTTACCCTATCCATTTGTTGCCAGGTCTAATATATTGAAACTACTAAAGCTTGCCACACTGCAGCGTTTCCTTCCTGAAGATGTACGGCCAAAGATTTTTTGGCCATACTTCTCCTGTGGGTCACAGGAGTGCATTTAGTTCTGCACTCCTATGACCCAGATTCAGCTGACAGTGGGCTAAAGCCCACTGTTGGCTGATGTCACAGAGCCGGTCCAGGCTCTGCAGGGATCCCAAAAATAATGTCAGGATCTGCCCAGATGCCTGATTGGCAGCTAGCTCAGCCTCTCAGCGTACCGCTGAGAGCCTGAGCCAGCCTCTCACACCCTCTGTCCTCAGTCCGGCTCTCCAGTAAGCACTGGAAGGGCAGAGAACAGAGCGGACCCAAGAACTGACGAATCAGCAGTCTTTAATCGCTTGTTTCTCAGCGTAGAGCTAGCAGGGGACAGCTGCAGCCATCTAGGTGAGTAGTATGTATGTTTGTTTTTTGGTATCCCACAGTTCTGTTTTTACTTATATGTTGTAATTTAAAGTGTTACTAAACCTTCATTCACTATATCTTGTCTATTACAGTACACAGAACATGGAAATGCAATTATTTTAGTTAATGTAAACTGCTAAATACCTTTTCACATCTGCAGTATATAGCAGTCATGTGACTTCTATCAGTGTACTTCTGAGCACTGATAAAGTTTGTAAGAGGAGTTTTCATTCTTCTCTGATTGTCCTATGAGGCTGCATGATCCCTGACTCTCTGTGTGGACAGTAATGATTGACCCTGTGCTGATCACATGCACCAACCCCCCCCCCCCCCAAAAAAAAAACCTCTCTAGCAATACACACCAAACTGGGCATGTGCTAGGCTCTGCACGATCAGCAGATGAATTGGGGACAGTGGAAAAAAGGGGAGGATAAAAGAAGACGGGATCAAGCAGTCTTTTTACACAATAGGGATGATTAACCCCTTTTAATAAACACACACTTACCTGTCCCAGAGTCCAGCGATATTCTCACCCACACAGTCCCTTCTCCTCTTCTTTCCTCCACGGCACCGGCATCTCAACTGTGGGCACTAGGCTGTGCCAGCTTGTGGCTTCACAGCCTGATGCCCACTGCACATGTGTGAGTCACGCTGCACATCCTGATTGATCCGGCAGTCTCCTGGGACCTGTGAAAGGTCCCAGGAGACTGCGGGAGGGAGGAGGGGGCCAAACTTTTGGCTCACTTTGCCGTGGAGAACTGAGCTGGAAGTGGAAGCAGGTACCTGTCAAAACAAGGTACCCGCTTCCCCCTCCCCCAAAAGGTGCCAAATATGGCAATGGAGGGAGGAGGAGGCAAATAAGTGGGGCTTCCACTTTTGAGTGGAACTCCGCTTTAAATATGTATTTTGTCTAGGGGATTTAGAATAGGAAGAAACACTTACCTTAAAGTCTTACTAAACCCAGGACCCTGCATTCACTATATCTGGTCTCCCACAGTACACAGAACATGGAAGTACAATTATTTTAGTAAATATAAACTGTTAAATACCTTTTCTTCATCAGCAGTTAGAGCAGTCTTGTGACTTCAGCTGAGCACTGGTTAAAGCTTATAGGAGGAGTTTTCTCTAGGAGGATGGAAATCCTCTGTCTGGACAATGCTTATTGGTCCTGTGCTGATCACATGCACTCCCCAAGGAAAAAAAAAAAACCTCTCTAGCAATACACACTAAACTGAGCATGTGCAGAAGGGCACGGTTCTGTCTGTCTTAGCTTGGGCATTGAAAGGGGAGGGGCAGAGAAGAAAAGATCAAACAGCCTTTTTACACAATGCAGAGGATTAACCCCTTAGGTTCCACAGTGAGTATAACAAGCATGCTTTACTGCATATACAGACTGAATTTACTGTTGCGGGTTAAGTAACACTTTAACTTATATGTTGTTGTATGGTACTTCTGACCAGATGTAATGATGAAAAGCTTCTGCTGTAAGGTACAAATAACACTTTCAATGGCATAGACAGTTAAAAGTTTTTTGGGGTTTAATGACAGTTTAAGGTCCTTGTCTAGGCACTTCTGTATCAGGGCACAACATTCGGCTCTTGTCTGATGATTGCAATTGAGGACCTACCCAAACAATCCAGCAGATTAAAGGTTTAGGCTGGCCATAGACCAGTAGTTGATTTTTTTTTTTTTTTCTTTAGCCAGTCGGCTGAACGAAAAAAAAAAAACTTTCCTCCATCCATCAACACAAATGAGGTGGATGAAGAAATCCTCCCTATCGGGGCATTATTAGGATACACTAAGTAGCTGCTGCAGCCACTGATTGACAAACTTTTTTCAGCATGCCCTTTTGACGATAGTCACACACTGATCGAAATTTGTCTGGTATCTTATAAACTGGTTGAATGTCAATCAGTTTATGGCCAGCTTTAGTCCACCTTTTTCCAAAAAAAGAATTATAAATGCACCAATATTTGCAGGGAAAAAAAAGTGTGTTTTTATTTTTTTTTTTTTTTTTTGTGCATTGAAGCCTGCAAAGCGTTCGAGCAATAATGGTCATGGGTGCAATACATAGACTCCTGCACTCTTTCTGTAGCTGATGGTCCATACAAAGGTACATGTCTTCAATTACAGGGCTCTAGTCACATGATTTGTGAGGGCATAGGAATTCTGGGGCATAAAAAGAAGCAAAATTTATTGTACAATGCTAAGTCAAATTTGTTTTTTTTTTTAACAAAGTGGAATTTTCCTTTTAACATGTGACATTCATCTTCTTTATAATAAATCAAGAACACAATAAAGCCTTTGTAGGGCCGTTTTTAAAAATGAGGGAATCAGAAGGGGATATAGATGACTGTTGTGTTAAGAGTCAGCAGTTGTATGATAAACATGGAAAAGACAATTAAATTATTTTTTATTTTTTTTTACTCTTTCTCTGTAATGGGATTAAACTGTGTGACTGCTTGATTTGTCTACACTGGACTCCTAGATGCATAAAATGTATACACTGCAGCAATAGAGAAGCCATCTGCTCCCACTAAACTGTCCTTCACCTGTTAAAATAAGATGGCCCTTGGGATATTTGTTCCCCTGCTGTTCCTCCGATCCTTTCTAATAAAATGTAGATGGGCATTCATCCAAAATCTGTGGGGTGCCTATTCTTCTGCCCCACAGTCATTAGAATGTAAGTTTACATTTACAAACCAAAAATAAATATATTTATCTTAGGGTTGCACTAATATGTTTTTTTTATCGGCCAGTACAAGTACCGATGCTTGTACTCATGTACTTGCCAATACTGATTAGCGATAACTTTGCAGTGCGATTTGAGCCCATGCAAATGAAAGGGCTCAAATCGCACTGCAATGATATCACGTGATTTGAACTGGAATGCTATGTGATTCCTGTGCGAATCACATGTGGTTTCCCTGTGGGTGCAGTGTGCTCTGAGCTATACAAAATCAATGGCTCAAATCGCACTGCAATGAATATCACGTGATTTGAACTGGAATGCTATGTGATTCCTGTGCGAATCACATGTGGTTTCCCTGTGGGTGCAGTGTGCTTTGAGCTACACAAAATCAATGGCTGAAATCGCACTGCAAAGAATAGCATGTGATTTGAACAGTAATGCAGGGCGATTCCTGTCTGAATCACATTCATTTTTCTGCATCGCTCCTGTGTGAACCCAGGTTTGTCATAGTGACTTCAGTCTGGGTTCACACAGAAGCGGTGCGGGAAACCACGTGATTCAGACAGGATTTGCACCGCATTCCTGTTCAAATCATATGTGATTCTTTGCAGTACAATTTGAGCAAATGCTTAGTATAGACACACATATATATATATATATATGTAAAATTAAATCAAAACACAAGTTATATGACATTATATTGCTAGGTACTGTGTATCCCTAACAACTGACATGAATTTTTCACTTTCAGTACAGTTTTATTGAACAATTTTAAAGGGATACAGCTTGTGACCACTATCATGTTTACAGACAGAAGCATAAAATCAAAAGTCAAAGCAGTCTTACAGCTACTAAAGAACTATAGCAAATGACAAAACAATTGATATGTCAAAAGGCACATTAATCAAGTTATAACAAGAAAACATTATGGGGAATAGGAGAAAATACCTATGCCTTTACCATGGGATCAGGTGTTGGTGGATGAGATATCAGTGTTTAACACTTCACTATGCAAAAACAAAGCAAAGGAGTACATAAGAACAAATCGTCCCAATGGAAGAGCCTGGAAAAATAGGAGAAAAAAAAGGAAGACGGGAGAGAGAAGCGAGAGAGGGAAAGGGACATCAAGAGCACTGGAACTTGAGCCCTAGGATCTCTGTGCTCATAATGATGTATAATTGGCTGTTGATATAGAAAGGTGAGCATGTTGGATCCATGGGGTCCATAGTTAAACAAATTTCTAGTGTTTATCTGAGAGGATGCTAGAGAGCTTTTCGTTAATGAAAAAGAAGTCTAAGCAGCGGCGAACTTCTGCAAATGAACTGTTGTTTCCAGGCTTTTGCTTGTTTTGCTGCCAACAGTACATAAGTAGCCAGTTTGAATTGGTAATTGGTGAGGCCTGGAGGTTTCAGGTGTAAGAGGACATGCCACGGATCTCTCGGGAAGGGGCAGGTTAGTAATGATTGGAGGAGTTTAACCTCTTGCCGTCCGCCTGCTGTTTATAAACGGCAGGGCGGTGGCAGTCCAAGGTCGGGTTGCCGTTCCTAAACGGCACCCGCCTTTTCTAGCTGTGCGCGCTCCCTAGGAGCGCGCACCACCGCGATCCGGTGTCCGCTGTGTCCTCCGGACACAGTGAAACACCGATCGTCGGACGGGACCTCTGTACGAGGTCCCGGTCATGTGATCACTGATTGGCGAATCAGTGATCACATGCAAAGTAGTAAGCAAGATGTCACTTGTGACATCATTGCTTACTACGTGTGAAATCTGTGAATGATCACAGAGGTCACATGGTACAAGGCTATTCACAACAGCCTTGTACCAT